AATCACAACGCACTGGATAGCTGGCCAATCAGAGCACACCTCACTTTTCAGACCAATGAGCTTTGTAAAAATTGATGCGTTTCAGGAAGGTGGGGCATAGAGGAGAAATAATAATGTACAGTATGTGGAAAATAATGTGTTTTTTTAAACTTAAACCGCATAAACACATTTCATTACACCAAATACACCAAATAATGTTCTTTTTAGCAACATCATATGACCCCTTTAAATTACTAATGCGACCTTTTTACACCACAGACTGAACAAAATTAAGCATTGCTTGGTAATTGGCTGACCTAGATTGGTATTATCTAATTGTGTACTTAAATTTAACAGCTGACAGCTATTCAACCTAATTCATTACATACCTTTCTATCAAAGTTATCTGACATTATCAAGATGAATTTGTTCTGACACAGTTTAACTCGGAGTTCTTGTCATATTTTATTACCATGTTCTAAACTATAGCGAATAAACTGTGATAATGTGAGAAATGTTGAAGGTGTCTGAATAAATTTAGGTTTGACTGTATACACACACAAACACACCTTTTTACAGCTGGTGTGGAAAGAAAAATCTAATAAAATATGCAACATTTTAATGAGAGAATATTATTGAAGAATATTTTTGAATATAATTGACAATATAATTTCCAATTCCTGTTAGGAAGCAAAATTGAAAATAACTGAAATTTAAATAATAAATTAATAATAATAGTAAATAATAATAAATGATAAATGAAAACATGAATAAATAATAATGAAAATTAAATCAATCAATCAATCAATCCTTAAATGGTTGAAGAACCTTACATGTATAGACATTTTTTGTTTGTTTATTACTGTTTTGTTGAAATCTTAAATGATCTCATAATATGACAACATATTTCTGAGGATAATAAATGCAGTAAAAATTGTTTTCCAAACATTATCTATTATTTCTTCCTCAAAATAACTAAAATAATAATTAATAGAACCGTTAAGGAATCCAGATTGAATCAGAACTGCCTAATTCGCTAAACTTCATGCTATAATGAGGTGAATTTGAGAGCAGCACTTTTTCAGTCTTTATGCAGTAGATGATTTCAGGCAACAGGATGAGAAAGTGACATGTGAAAAGTCATGGTGGTCTGGTGGGCACCTGTGCTATTCTGAGACACAGGGCTGCCATCAATGATCCCAAAGGGGAACTGAGCTGGAACCTGGCATGAGAGAAATAGGAAGTTGGCAGAGGGATGTGTGTGTATGTATAACAAGCATAAATTTGTATAAATATGCAGACATGATACTTGCCATCACTCAAGAAAGCTTTGGAAATAGAAGGAAACCCTACATGCATGAACATGAGCGAAAACGAATCAGAAACAGAGGATATACATTTTTAAATATTTGCGTGTAGAGAAGAGAATGAGTGTATGCCACACTTCAGTATGACCATATGACTGTGAAAAGCCACTGTTAGGGTGTAAAGTCAGAGGTTAATGACAGCAGTTTCTGTTCTGCAGTAACTAATTTAAGAAAGGAAGTATGGAAGCATGAGAGAGAAGAAGACTGAAGAGTTGAAAAGCGTTCAGATGAATACTAAAAAGTTAGAACCAGTTTCTCAGAACCTTTAAGAGAAGTTGATCATTTCTTGCTGAAAAAAATGTCGTGTGTGAGTTTGTGCGAGGGAAGTATATCAGGTTTGTCTTATTGAGTGTGGAGAGAGAAAGACACTGTTCCATAGGGTGCGGCTGGCGTGTGTGTGTGTGTGTGTTTGAGGTTATAGGGGCCCCTCTCCACTAATCCTCTATCAGTGAGACAGACATGCCAGCTTCAGCTGTGCCTGTCCTTAACAACAAACCTAAATATTAGTAACCCCTCAGTAAGTATTATATACCCCTCTCTTAAATAATATCAACCCCCTCGATATTATTAACCCCATCACTGCGTATTAAGTAGCCCAGCTTCATACTCCATAAATATTTATTATCTCCTTACTCTTTATATATATACACAGTGACCCTAAAAAGTATTTGGACTCTTAAGCCACACTTAACAAGCGATTTTAAATTTATATGAATCTAGTATTGCAATGCAATGTGGCATCTGCAAACAAATTTCACAAGACATTTTCTTAGAGCTAAGTTTATTTTTCTGAGGCATTTTTTTCTAATTACTCCAATTTTTGGTGTGCATATTAAGTAATTTCCTCAATTTTTACACAAGCGTACCAGCAGAGTAACAACAGGTGTAGTTGTCATCACATTAACTATAGACATTTTATCTTAATTTGTAATAACATAATTATCATTTATGTTAACAGATGTCTTTTTGTGAAATGTTTTGTTAGCTTTCTTTAAAGTACCATCTGGTTTTATATTTAACTAGTGCAATAACATTTATTCATTAAGTGTAGCTTTAGTGTTCATATACGTTGGCCAATGTATCTACTGTATGTTATAATTATTATTTTATACTGAATCTGTTAAATCTGAAGTCCTGTAGACATACAAGTACACACCTTTGGCCTGTGGGCCTGCTGCAGGGGGCACCTTTGGGGTATCAGGGTTCTCTGACATGTCAGGAGAGCTGGACAAGGAGATGAAGGAAGGCAGCTTCTCAGGACCCGAGCAGGACGAGCCCTCATCTGCCTGTATGGACTCAGTAGATTGTGCCTGAACTTCCTCTGAACTAAAAAGGCAAAACACCAAATAATATAAGATTAAAATGTTTTATTTAATTTTATTTTCAAAGGAATTTCTAAATAATCATCATGCTTATGAGGGATTTACATGCCTATTCAGGTAACTTCCCTACAATAATATAATTATTCAAATTATGATAAATTTTTTTTTGACAACTAAGAATCATAAAAGCTAATGTTAGATTAGTTCCTGATCCTGACCTTTTTAAAATGTCTCTAGTATGGGCTTTCTTGGTCGGTCCAAAGCTTGCGTTAGAGCCGGAGCGTTTCGAGCTCTGTCTGTGGTGCAGCTTGCATTTGGATCCACGTGGACACACGCCGGTACTGGAGAAGTCTGGACACACCAGCGTGTGTTTCTTCTTACACTGTGAAGAGAGCAAAACATTCTTAATGCTTTATTTCATGTGTGCCACACTCTGTAGGAGTGCACTGAAGTAAGCAAAAGTAAGTGTTTGCATGTGATCACACATCAGTAGGTGCATGTATCTGATATGTGAGAGAAGGTGAGCATGTGTTTGTGTGTGTAAGTGAGAGTAGGTGAGAGTGTCTGTGTGCCTGTGTAATTTGGGCGTAAATTGGTAGCTTCATTCTTCGGGAGACCCGATCCCTCCCACCTGTCAGAGAAGCTAATTATACCCCACTATGGGGTGAGGAGCGCGAGACGCGTGTATAAGTGAGAGAGAGAGAGAGAGAGAGAGACTGGGCGAGTGTGGGGCATGTTGCTCCAGAAATAAACAGAGAGAGAGAGAGCGAGAGAGAGAGAGAGAGAGAGAGAGAGAGAGTGTGTCTGTATGTGTGTGTGGGAGGGAAGGATGGCTGAAGGATCGTGTGTCCGGGAACACTGTGGACTCCTTGTCACCCCTTGGGGCAGACCGCCCAGAGACACTTTACCCAACGGGGATCAGGTCAGAGCCACAAGCGGCCTAAAATTACCAAATTTACAGTTATTAGGTATTATCTTGTGGTGCTTAGAAACGAGATAAAGAAACCAGACAGATTTTGTTAAATTAAACCCGCAGCGACCATTCACACAGGAAACATTTTTTTTTGTAATCCAGCTGTGCTACTTTTTTAATTGTCGCACATATGTATCCGATTGCTACTTTTTTCAGTGTCTAGCCCCAGAGACACCACATTTTTAGTTAACCAAAATGCTTATCAAGACCTCCTACTAAAGCCTTAAGGAGGTCAAAAGTACAAGCCAGATATGATACAAGACAAGACCAAACCAAACCAAACCAAAACAAAACAAACCAAACCAAAACAAAACAAAACAAACCAAACCAAAACAAAACAAAACAAAACAAAACAAAATTGAGCTTGAATAGTGTAAAGCTATTATTCTAAAATAACATCAGTGGATAAAGTTTCTTGAAGGTTGTAGTGTCTCTATTCATTTATAATATGTGCAAGATCTGTCTAAAAATCAGCCCAAATGAGTCAAACTGATGGAAATGGATTGACTATACTTAGACATAACAACATTCATAGAATAATGATGTTTGAATTTAAATAAATTAGAAATGAACTTGAAATAAGCATGAAATGCTTTATAAAACTATCATACAGGACAGAAACCATAAAAATGGCTTTTGTCTCCTTATTTCAGAAAAATAATACTTCTTAATAATAATAAATACATTTAAAACAATTTATATTTAAATTACATATATTTGTGTGTTTGTGTACACTTTTGAATAAAACTTCCAAAAATAAATTAATAAATAATAAGATTTTTTATTTACTACTACACAGATATTTGTGTAAATACATACTAAGCATTCATTTTTTATTTCTTTTATGTCTGTCTCATATATAAATATATAGTTTATTAATGTAAATATACACTTCTATTACACATACACTCTTAAAAATAAAGTTTTTTTATTGGCATCAGTGGTTCTATGAAGAACATTGAACATCAAATAAACACACAATCATTTAAGTGTATGTCATAGACTCTATCACTAAGATGCAAAAAGGCATGTATAGTGTGTCTATGGAGTCTTTAAATACAAGATGACAGCTTTTGCTTTATTTACTGTTATACAAAGAAAACAATAAAAGTATAGATATTATCAATACACACACAGTCTAGTGTAACTGGATTATCGTACCCAATGAATCTGGGTCTCTAATGCCCCCTAAATCATCCTATAGACAACATCATCACTCACCACACTCTTGGCTAATTGGCCCAATTTGCTAAATCCCTTGCCACTTGAATTCAGTCGATTCCAATTCCACCCCATTTCAGAAGAGCATTTGGGACCTTTCTTTTTTTAAATACCCATTTGTTTCTTGTTTGACTGATAACATCCATGTCGAGTTTTAATCATTCAAAGGTCCGGCGGAGGCAGATAGAACCAATGTGTAAATTGTGAGAAATTACAAGCGATGTGAAGTGGGATAATCTGATCACACGCCATCTGTAATTTTAACTATTCAGGTTCACAACAATACAAACAGCGTCTAGGATGGGACCGGGCTGTTTTGCAGTGAAATTTACCTACTATCACACTGGCATCTCCGGGGCATTTATAATTCAACAACTGCATCCACTGAGTCTACTCGCAGCCGCCAACAGACCATTTGATGCATATTGACCACTAAAGTCGGGCGTACACGGTGCGATTCTGAAGGTCGGAACGTCGTGAGCTCTGGCACGTCACGATTGAGTTTATCCGAAAATCGTATGGAGGCAGTCACACACGACACGAATTTACTACGATTTTACAAACTCTGACGTAAGCATTAGATTTCGCGCCATTCATAAAAATATGGATTCTGATGACGAAATAGTTTTCTTTGTGGCAGGCGGCTTGTGATGTCCAAAAAAAAAAAAAAAACGAAGACAAAGGACATGGCAAAGAGAATGGCTGAAAAGCAGAGAAAAGCATGGACTTTCTGTTCTTCATAAAGAACTCGAGGGAGTAGGCCATTTCTGAATTTCTGCTCGTTTTGCCGGAAATACAACAGGCATATTCATTCATAAAGCTGAACGGCAAATTTGGCACATTCGGAATA